AACTGACCCAACCGAAGCTCGAACCAGTGACCTTCTTGCTGTGAGGCGATAACACTACCTACTGCGCCACTGAGTCACCCCATTATTATTTTTATTATTATTATTATTATTACTTTTCTTTGTTTCATTATTCTTATTATTATGCTTATTATTATTGTTGTTGTTATTATTATTATTTGTCTTTACTTTTATTTGTTTAATAATTAATTGCTTATTATGCTTATTTTTATGTTTATTATTATTATTGTTATTATTATTGTTAATATTATTATTTATCTTTACTTGTAGGGCAGCATGGTGGCACAGTGGGCTGCAAAATCGCCTCACAGCAAGATGGTTGCTGGTTTGAGCCTCGGCTGGGTCAGTTGACGTTTCTGTTTGAAGTTTGCATGTTCTCCCAGTGTTCGCGTGGGTTTCCTCCGGTTGTTATGAATTCCCCCACAAGTCCAAAAAAACATGTGCTATAGGTGGATTGGGTGAGTTAAATTGGATGTAATGTATGTGTGTGAATGAGTGTGTATGGATGTTTCCCAGTGATGGGTTGCAGCTGAAAGGGCATCCACTGTGTAAAACATATGCTGGATAAGATGGCAGTTCATTCTGCTGTGGCGACCCCAGATTAAAAAAAGGGACTAAGCTGAAAAGAAAATGAATGAATAATTAGTAGTAGTAGTAGCATTAGTAGCATGTTTGAGTGATCATTTTAAATTATATACTCTCTTAAAACGTGTATTATAAAAATCTACCTTCATCTCACTATTGCATATCACTTGGTAAATACTTTTTATAATTTTTTTTCATTAATACTAATGATTATTAATGCTTCTACATTATTATAGGAGTTATAATTTATATTTTCAGTATGAATTATTAATTAATATATAATTAATATATAAAGCATATTGAAAAGATAAATTATAACACCTAACATAATGTAGAAGTATTAATAATCATTATTATTACTGAAATAAAAAATAAAAATATTAAACAGGTGAAATATGCAATAGTGATACATTAATGCATATGTAGCTGTGTGCTATTATGCTCGTTTTATCAGGCTGTCCTTGGAGCAAGTGATTAATGTACATCATGAACAGAGGACAGCAGATAAAGAGATCAGCACTTCACTCCGCTCCGTTATTTATTAAGACATGTGGGGTTGATTTTATCTGTCTGTGGAGGTTTTATACAATAGATTTCCATTTCCAGCTTATATTGCTATTCAATAGTTCCTTGTCAGTTTGTTTTAAATGATGTTTTCTAGTTCAGCAAAGCATCTGACAAGGTCGATGTGATTCTGCCAGTGGTTTGAACACCATTCCTCATATTAAGCACACTTGCTCTCAGCAGACAGATTTGTTATTAAAACTGTAGATTGCAAAATTGGTCCAATAAACTAATAGCCGTAAGCAGATGTTTACAACCTGACATTAAATCAACAATTTTGAATCACATAGATTATTTATTTATTTATTTATTTATTTATTTATTTATTTATTTATTTATTTATTTATTTATTTATTTATTTATTTTTGCAGCAAAAACTTTTTTTAGAACTCTTGTTTTGTGTTTTTGTTTTGTTTTGTTTTGTGTTTTTGTATTTTTTTGTTGATTTTTGTAGTTTTTGTTTTGTGTTTTGTTTTGTGTTTTTTTGTGTGTGTGTTTTGCTTTTGTTTTGTGATTTTGTTGATTTTTTCATGTGCTTTTGTTTATTTTTGTTTGTTTTGATTTGTGTTTTGTGTCTGTTTTGTGGTTTTGTTTTGTGTTTTTTGTTTTTGTTTTTTGTGTTTTGTTTTTGTTTTGTGTTTTTGTTGATTTGTTTTCTTATGTTGTTGTTGATTTTTGTTTGCGTTGATTTGTGTTTTGTGTCTGTTTTGTGGTTTTGTTTTGTTTTTTTGTGTTTTGTCTTTTGTTTTATGTTTTTCTTGATTTTTGTTATTTTTGTTTGTTTTGATCTGTGTTTTGTTTTTGCCTTTGTTTTTTGTGTTTTTGTTTTATATTTTTGTGTTATTGTTTTGTGTTATGGTTTTTGTTTATGTTTTGTGTTTCTGTTGTTGTTTTTGTTTTGTTTTGTTTTGTTTTGTTTTAAAAAATTAAATAAAACAATCTGAGTTATTCCCAATATTTAGATTGACATCTAAATATTGTTTTTCTTACTCTGTGGAAAAAAAAAACATTAGCATAGTGTTGATGAATAAATATAATAAACAAATAAGATAAATATGAATATATATTTTAACCAAAATAAATCCAGAAAAACTTCCTTTTTGAATTGCAATTTATCCTGTTGGGTCTTATTTGATTCCTATAATCCTGCTGGACATTTCTTTTATACATTTTTAGAATGCCTTGTTATATTGTGAATCGTATTTCAATACTTAATCCAATATTCTGTAGAAAGAAGGATTATTAAATATTTTAAGGAAACGCTGTAAACATCTAAATCGGTATTGTAAATGGTTATGGTTCGACATTAAGTTTTTAAACAGTTCATTATTTTTTACTTAAAGGGATAGTTCACCCAAAAAATCGATTACTCTTTCTCATGTGGTTTTAAACCTTTATAAGTTTCTTTTTCTCTGGTAGACACAAACAAAGATATTTTAAAGAATGCTGGTTGCAGGCACCAATCCACTTCTATAGTAGGGAAATAATTACTATGAAAGTCAATGGGTGCCAGCAACCAGCAGTTTTCAAAACATTCACTTTTTGTGTTCAACAGAAGCAATAAATTAAAATAGGTTTTGAACAAGTGAATGGGGATTAAATGAGGGTGGACTCATAGGACAACATTTTGGGTGTCCTATGAGACAATAGTTCCTATATGAATGTTTCCAAAATATTATCAATTATTAAATATATTATTAGAGTCTTGTAAAGTATTCCTGTTGGAATCCTGTTTGATTTTTTTGAAATGGGGCCATTTGCAATGTCTATTTTGAGAGTACACATTGATAATCTTTAGTTGAACAACTATTCACTGCAAGAAAAAATCCACTGGAGAAAAAAAAAGATTGATTGATAATCTTCAATCAAAGGCTGACCATTTACTTCTACATTTGGAGTGGCGATCCTTCTGTTGATGTCAGTTTGATGACTTGATGACACCCTCATTATTTTGCTATAAGGGAATGATTCACAAAAAGAAAGCTCCACCCCCTATTCAACATTCTGTTTCAGATAGAAGTACATCAGCATACTGAAAAAAATTCTCAGAAACTTTCAGTTCACGTGGACTTTATGAGTATTATAACTAAAGATTTTTGTCAACATCAATTTGAATAGTGGATTGCATGTAAAATGTAATATTTAAAATAATTATGAATAGCATAAACATTAATGTGGCTTTGGAAAATTACATTATGCTGTGCATTTACACATACTTAAGCTATATAAAGAAGCTATATACAGTATAGTTTGTATTTGGTAACACACAGACCTTGAAAATCTATTTATATTTTCTGTGAGTAGCTACTTGATTAAAATCTCTGATTAAAAACTGTGATGGTTTCCTTCAAAGTGCGTAAAAGGTCAGCAGATTCACCTGTCCCTTCATTTCCTGAGTGTGTCTGTGATGAAAGCTCGAAGCATCTGATCAGATCTGCTGAAGTGCTGCTTTAAAAACACATTATTACTGATAATAGCTGAGAAATGACACATGAAAGGCACCGGACACGTATAAAAGAGCTCTGGTCATTCACGAGCTGGCTGTTACTTTCTGACTTATCAGATTGAAACAATGTCAAATCTCTCTCCCTTTTTCACAACAATACAAATGTGAGAAACAGTTCCTGTAAAACTGTCAAAATATGAGACAAACAGACGTGAGGTAGCTGTGAATGAATTTGTTTCTCAAGGTTTTTCAGTCAACAAGTAAATCACTAAAATAATAATAGAAGTAATAATATGATGCCAAAAAGAAACATTCTGGGCCCTTTTGCTATGTCTGTGTGAATGTACATTTATTACATTTACGCACACATAAAGACATACATAGAAATAGATGCACGCCGAGAGAAAGAAAGAGCTAATAGAAGAGACTTACAGAAAAGACTAAATATGGAGACTTACAGTTTATAGTCCTTGAGTAAAACATGTTTGTTTTAAATTATCATGATTTATCGTATCAAATGCCTTCTTTAAATCTATAAAAATTCCAACTACCGTTTTTCTTTTATCTAGATAGATGTTGATCTATTTTTCCCTAAAACCATTTTTTCATATGGAGTTGTTCTGATCAGTTGTCATTTTCTATGCAATGTTTTATTAGACTGGAATAAATAATCAAAGATAATTCCTTGGATTTACAAAATTAAGAGGTTGTAAACAATTTATTTGGGCTTAATTTAAACAAATAAATTAAGTTGAACATTAATAAATTTTATTTGTTTTTTAAATCCAGCCCATATAAATTATTTGCAACAATTTTGCAAAAATATTTTTTCAGTGTGTAGATTAGTTTTTTATAAATTGAAGTTGATTAAACATAAAACAATTAAGTTGTCCCAAAAAAACTCAAGAATTGTGTTGTTTCAGCTCATTTTAAATAAGTAATCTGACCAAACAGCAAACATAATTTTTAGAGTTTAGATCTGCTCTACAAGAAATACTTGAAAAGAAATATATATATATGTCATTTTTAATTGAGGGATTTTCTGATTCTTTGTAAATACTGGTGATATTCACTCTCAAGCTCAAATTGAACATTGTACGTCAATCCTACAGCAGTTGTTTGTTTTTTTTCAGTGTGTTCCTCATACTTTTATCTGAATGAACGAAGCTGCTCTGCTTCTCTCTTCATCTGTAACACAGTGTCCTCTTATACGCTTCTCAAAAACGGCATCATCCCTATTTGTTATTTCATATCAGAACCTGAAAATCTCAGAACAATTGTCAATGCTAAATTAGGTTTACTTTTAAAACCATGCATCATTTACACAATAAACTCACCAATGTGTGTTTGCATTTAAACAATGAAGAGATATTGGACTTTATTTTACCTGGGTGATGGAGATGATGAGACTGGTCCAGCTTGATGTGAATGAGGAGGAATGTGCTGCTATGTCAGTCTGGTGTGCAGGTTGTTCAGTATTGTCCTCATGATGCTGAAGAGATCAAGCTGGAGCATCTGTTTCATCCGTCCGAGCCTCTGTGTCCTTTCTCTCTCTCTCTCTTTCTCCATCTGATTCTGTCCGTCTCCTTCTCATATTCTGCTTGATTCCAGTGGTTGTGCGCTCATGTGCGTTCGCTCTCTCTCTCTCTCTCTCTCTCTCTCTCTCTCTCTCTCTCTCTATTCTGCGTGCGTCTCTGTGTCTGTCAGTTTTCTCTCTCTCTATCCTCTCTCTAATCATTCTGTCTCATTATGCACTATAGTGTTGTCACGATGCTGGAATTTCGAGCTTCAATAACATACCTTTGAAAATATTACTACACAAATCAAATTGATTTTAACAACTCTGATATTTTACACACATCAGTAATGTCAACTATAAACAGTTTTGGACCTAAAACGGATGGGAAAAGGATAAAATGAGAAAGGTATGATATAATTTTAATTAATGGCTATTTGCAGTACTATGTATATTATTTTATTAATTTATTGGGGGTAGTCTGTGTTACAAACTGTAAAGGTACAAATGGAATCAAACATATAATTTGTCAAAGATGCCAAAAGGATAAAATATATCTCATGTAAAAAGAAGAGATAGGTAAAAGAAGAAAAACGTTTAGGTAATAGACGACTGATTAAATTAATAAGCTTGTGCTTCATCCCATTCCATTTTCGACCATGTTGAAATGTATTTTTTGTTAATGATATTTTATGTATGATTTGTCAGTTTGAAAATAAATCAAATTAAATTAAGCTGATTCTTGTGGTACGCCACCATTTACATTCATATATGATGATTTATGGCTACAAATTTCAACAAACTGTTGCTTATTTCTTAAATAATTGCTTTTCCAATTAAAAGTTACTCCTCAAGTACCATACCATTATAATTTATTTGCCTTTATAATTTATTTATAATTTATTTACCTGCTTTAAATTTATAAAAGTTCCAACTACCTTTTTATTTTATTTTTTTTATCTAGCTGTTGAAGTTTTTCCCAAAACAATTTTTTTTTATATGGAGTTGTTCTGACCAATAGTCATTAGCCCCTTTCCCACAGTGATACCTGTAAATATCCGGAAAAATTCCAGAACAACTTCACCAGTAGATTAAAAGAAGCTCTGTTCACACAGGCAAGAATGTTACGGAATTTATTCGGACAAGACCATTCACACATCTATTCCAAAACACCGGTAAGTTTTGACATGTTTGTTTTTGCTACACTTGTATTTGTAAACATTTCACTACATTACAAACTCTGTGGATGGATAAGTATTGTGAACAGCTTCAATGAAAACATATGGAGGAACAATTTCCCATGACGAGATGTATATAATATGTCTGCTCTGGCGCTCACCAGGTGCTTCACGTGCACACGCGTCAACGGTTTATCCTAAAAATTTTATTGATAAATTTTTACAGTTTGCATTAAGAAGAAACATGGAAACGTTATCTGACTAACATCTAGCAGCTAAATGTGTCTGGAAAAATTTTCAAAGGCTTTTATTTTCAGAAACGAAATGTTTTGATTGGCTGGAGATGTCTCACATCAGCTCGTTCTGAGCGTGAACCCATACACCCACTTCCCTAAACCCAACCACAGTGTTTTAAAAAGCAATTCAGAAAAAGAAAAGCCCTCGCCTGATTTAACTATGTTTTACCACATTCTCACCCTGTTATTTACTTGTTTGGTTTATTTTTAGCTTCTGTTTTTGTGTGTTATCTGCATTCTGGAATCGTCATCGTGATCAACTTTTCTCTGCGTCTCAAGTCCGTCAACGTACTGTACATGGCAAGCTACTGGAAAAACTAACAGCAGGAAAGCTGTCCATATGAAGGTAAGAGGTCAGTTAGTAAGCGCGAAAAGGAATGGCGTCATACCACTCCATAGCAATCATTTTATAGACGAAATGCTGCCATATGTACTTATGTCTGCATAATCTCACGATATCTAGAAATGTATATAGAGCTACATTTTCAGAAGGAGCCTATGTTGGTTTTGTTCTTGTTTTTATTCGCGATTTTGAGTGTTTCTAATTAAGTTGATCCCCATGTCTATAAAATCTTGTTCTCTAACATTTTTGGTTTGTGCCTGGTAACAAATCGAAACGTGTATATATACTTTTTTGTTGTTGTTGTTTTTCGATAATACGTATCAGAATTCAGACTTTTTGTTTTTGTTTAATCTGGTTTGTCCATTTGACCTGCACCTGAGTCTTAGGATTTATGTGTTGTGTCAATTTGAACTTTTGATTGAAATATTATTTGGCATATATTTAACCCATCCGTTGGAGCCCAAGAGCATGAAAAAGAGCACTCAGCATTGAGCGCTGAGAGAAAGTGATGCCAATTTGGAGTTCTCTACTGCATTTTGTGGTTGATCTTTAACCTGAAACTGAGTTCATAATCTTGTCAAGATACTAGAGCTCAAGGTAACAATACAATACCTTAAAAAATAGCAGTAGTCAATGCTGTTTTCAAAACAACATGAAAATATTGCAAAAGCATTCATTCAAATAACAATATTAAGGTTTATGTGTCTTCACTTAGATGATTCATCCAAAAAGAAAAATGCTGTCATCATTTACTCACCCTCCACTTGACTTGTCACAAACCCATTTGAGTTTCTTTCTTCTGTTGAACACAAAATAAATTTATTTGAAACCCCAGGAGTGTGAGTGAATATTGAGGAAATATTCTTTTTTTTTTTTTTTTTTGGTGATCTATTTAAATTCCCAACCATGGCTCAATGTCAGGTCAGTTGCTCAGGTTGTCATTTGCCCTGGCAACATCTTCAATAATAATAAGCAGAGGAGTAAAACAACTTTTTTTGTGGCTTTCATTGTAGATTTATATTAAATTTTACTTTTGTATTATAAAAGAAATAAAAAGCCTAACTTAAATCATGCTAAACCAATATTGGAGACAGGTGAACAGCTAGCAATAACCAAATAAGAAAATTATGAAACGAATAAAAATATTACCGAACAAATATATGGATGAAACTAATTTTAAAATGTCAATAATTTTACAACAGCATCATTAACATTTAATGACATTTTAATGACAGTTCAATTTATGTCACTGTAGATCAATACATAAAATGAGTGACACAATTTTAATGACAGTCATGTTTATGACAGATTTATTTCAAGTCATACTGTCTTGATAATCTCAAGTTGTCATGACAAAGACATTGTATTTGTTTAAATCAAGCTGTCATAACATGACATCTCACACAGTGCCACCTTTGCATTTAAAATGACATAACTGACCTAATGACACTTAATGACAATTAGGCCCAATTCCAATTCTAGCCCTTAGCACTTCCCCTTCCCCTCGTTTTGCACGTTACCGTCAAGGGTTAGGTTTATCCCAATTCTCTTTAGCTTAAAGGCGTAGGGCTAAGGGGAAGGGGTGAATAGCCCTTAAAACAAAGATTTTTCAGGACCATACTCGAAAACAAGGGTTAAGAAAGTTCCCCAGAATACAACAGCCACAACGGCAAGATAGTTACACCCAGAAGTAAGGAGATCCACAAATTAGTATTCTTTGTCATTATTACGAATTTTTACAAAAAAAAACAAGCACATGTTTTAATATATTTATAACCGCGTTCGTGTTTTATCGTCAAGCTTAAAAAAACGCCCCAAAAAAAAAAGCTAATATCCGCTATCTATAATCCCTAATCATAACTCCTGTATAGTAGTCCCACAACATTCAGTCACTCAATGATGCTCAAATCCCCTCTCAGAAAAGTCTAGTGGCTGGAAATGGGCTTTTTACAGTGTCTGCTATAATGTTAATGTTGTTTTTGGTGTGTTTGCATAGATGAGAATGGCCAGGGTGTAAAAGGGTGTAAATGCACAGTACAGTTATCTTATTGCCACATTAGATCGTTATGATAGCATAGTATATGCCTTCAGTGATTTCCTGATTAATAAACATTCATTTAAATTAATAAACAATCATTTAAACTAATTCGTAATGACATCATGATGGTTATGTTTATGATAGATTTATGACAAGTCATGCTGTCTCGATAATGTCAAGTTAAAATGACATAAATCAGCTAAAAATATTAATGACAATTAATAAACATTCATAAAAATGCATATAAACTCATTCATACTGGCATCATGATGGTCATGTTTATGACAGTTTTATGACAAGTTATATTGTCTTTATAATGTCAAGTTGTCATGACAAAGACAATCTATTTGTTTTAGTCAAGCTGTCAGAACAGTGACATCTCAAACAGTGTCATCTTTGCATTTAAAATGATATAACTGAGCTAATGACACTTAATTACAATTAATAAACATGCATAAAATCTCATTCATAATGTCATAATGACAGTTATGTTTATGATAGATTTATGACAAGTCATGCTGTCTTTATAATGTCAAGTTAAAAAAACTGAGCTAACGATATTTATGACAATTGATAAACATTCATAAACATGCATATAAAGTCATTCATAATGGCATCATGAAGGTTATGTTTATGATAGATTTATGACAAGTTATGTTGTCTTTGTAACGTCAAGTTATAAATCACATAACTAAGCTAACAATATTAATGACAATTAATATACATTCATAAACGTGCAAATAAACTCATTCATACTGGCATCATTATGGTTATGTTTATGATAGATTTATGACAAGTCATGCTGTCTTGATAATGTCAAGTTAAAATGGCATAACTTAGCTAATGATATTAATGAAAATTAATAAACATTCATAAACATGCATATAAAGTCATTCATAATGGCATCATGAAGGTTATGTTTATGATAGATTTATGACAAGTTATGTTGTCTTTGTAACGTCAAGTTATAAATCACATAACTAAGCTAACAATATCAATGACAATTAATATACATTCATAAACATGCAAATAAACTCATTCATACTGGCATCATTATGGTTATGTTTATGATAGATTTATGACAAGTCATGCTGTCTTGATAATGTCAAGTTAAAATGGCATAACTTAGCTAACGATATTAATGAAAATTAATAAACATTCATAAACATGCATATAAAGTCATTCATAATGGCATCATGATGGTCATGTTTATGACAGTTTTATGACAAATTATGTTGTCTTGATTCTGTCAAGTTGTCATGACAAAGACAATGTATTTGTCTAAGTTAAGCT